CATCTTGTTACTGTTTTTTTTGTATATTTTTTCAAATGACAACTTTTATTTTAGTTTTTTTAAAACTTTTTTACAGTTTTTTTAAATAACAGTTTCTCTTTTTATCTTTTTTCTGTTTTTTTTTAATATCCGTTTTTCTTATACAACCATTTGATCATCAAATTTTAGTCATCATGATTGCTCTAACAAGTTCCTCTTTATTCTTGAAAGAATATTTTCTTAACTTTCGCGTAAAATCATTCTTACTCGTTGAATGTGTCACAATCCAATTGTTATCAATAGTCAAATTTGTTCCTTCCATATTAGTAAAAGTTGAAGGTAGTTCAATATTTGTCAAAAGATGTTTCCTCATCATATTTATCTCCAATTATTTATCACATTAGTCACAACAACAGCTTGAAAAGTTATAGAAAAATTATCATTGTCAATCATGTCTATTATACAATTCATCTATAAAACAAATAAAAACAATCAAAAATTGATCAAAAAAATGATAATACAAATTTATGCTAACAAGAAAAAAGAAACATAATGACATGTTTGCAATCAATTCCATCTACAAAAAGATTAAAAAAAACAAACTATGATAAATCCATCTACTAAAAAAAACAAAAGCGAAAATTGATCAACAATTCGTCCTAATGAGAAGCAGAATCGAGAAAAGCAAAATAGAGAAGAAAATAGTAAATAGAAAACTGAAGAATCGGAATCTAGAAGCAACAATTCGATAATAGAGAAACAAAAAATTAAACAGAAAACGAGCAAGATGAATCAAAATTGATAACAACTTTGCATACCTTGAATGGAGCGAAGGTTGGAGGAGGTTGCAGGTCGTCGGCGACGGATGGAAGAGGCCGTAGGTTGCCGACGATGGTAAACGTGCGACAACGACAAAATGATGGTGGAGCCCTAGTTTGCGTTTACGATTTTTTTTCTTTTTCGGTTCGAGCCTCGTTCCAACCTTCCACGTAATCAAAAGAAACATGTTTTTTTTAAATAATAATATTAGTTTTGAAATTAAAGTAATACCGTTTTGGTAAACATTTTTGAAAAAACACTAAAATGGTAAATATTTTTTCCAATCACTCTATTACGGTTAAAAACTCTGAGTAAACTACACGGTCTATCTGGTTTAGGATATTTGCTTGTTTTGGTATCTAGCTCTTTCTTGTGTAACTTGGATCGTCCTCTGTGACTTTGAGTTTGTTTTGATCTTGGTCCCCAATCAAAGTAGAATGACTATTTTGCATTTACTAATATTTTTAAATTCCTTTTCTATTTATTATTATTATTATATAGATATATTACTAATGGACCCCACCCATACACTTTTCGTCTTTCCCTTCCACTTTCACGTATTTGAACGCTTGAACCCTCATCTTGATGGAAAACAAAACTTAGCACCTTCCTTTATTGTACTCTGTCATTGGAAACCTCTCCCTAACCCCTCATTCCTCTTCACCGCCCACCTGCATCTCTTTTTCCCTTTCTACCATTCATCCATAAACATTACAAATACATGGATGTGATATGAGGGGAGATCTATTTGTGACCTTAAATCGAGTAGTAATAAGTAGATCCTAACAAACATTTGATGTGGATGAGGACCTGATTTTTCAAGTTGAAGGTTTAAAATCAATTTGGTGGTTGGGTAGAGGTAAGATTCTTACATCTATACATATATGTTAGCTCCCACTTTAGGTTCGTATTTGCCTTGTGCTTTCACCTTTAGTGGTTATTTGTTTGTTGCATAATTTCATGTTGTAATGGTAATGGAATGATTATTGTTCTGGGGTCATGGTGGATACCGACGACAAGGCTAAGGGGGGTTGGGATGGGGTCCATTAGTAATATATTTATAAAATAATAAGAGACTGATATAGAAAGAATTCAAAAATCATTAAGGGCGATATAGTCATTTTATATTCAAAAATCGAAACAAATCCAAACAACATGGAGGACCTGAGTTAAAAAAAAGAGTTAAGGATAAAATGTGCAGACTACCGAAAACCATAAGGACCATTAGTGTAATTTACTTTAAAAGTTTTAAGCTCGTACTCCCATGATTTTTTTTTTAAAATTTAAGTTTTTTTAAAGCTAAAATTAAACTGCGAAACACATCTTTAATCTAAACCGAATAACTTAATGGATAAATAAAAAAAACGAATTTAATATATTAAGACACCAACACTTAACCTATTTGTTCTTTCTTTTTTCCTACCAAAATGATTTAATATATTAAGACAACAAAACTAATTTAATATATTAAGACACCAACACTTACCCTTAATGGATTTAATATATTAATGCCACAAAACTGATTTAATACATTAAGATAACTAAATTAATTTAATATATTAAGACACCAACACTTAAAGTGTGTTTGACTGTTATTCTAAAAATGACTTTTTAACTTATTAACTTCTTGAAAAATCAATAATTAAAAAAAAATGTTTGGGTATAGAAAAGATATTTTAAAACAATTTTTTGTTTAGTATTTGAAGAGGAGATTTCAAGAAGTCACAATTTCGGACTTCTTGAAACAACTTATGACTTATTAGGTTTACAAAGTAGATAAAAGAAAAAATTAAGCCAAACACTTTTTAACTTATTGACTTATTGACCTTGGCAACTATAAAAGCTAATCTAAACATTTAAAAAAAAAACTCATTACATCACCTTCATAAGTCAATAAGTCCTTTTAGATAAAAGTAGGCATGGTAATTTGACCCGACTCGTTGGAGAACCCGATTGACCCACCCCGTTTGGGGATAGGTATTCCCCGCTAAACCGGGTATGGGGCCGGGGCTAGGTTTCCTATTCCTCGCCCCTAGTTATATTATACCCACAATATACGTATACATTTTAAGTAGGGTCAAGTTGGTTTGACCCAATTTCGTGGGTGTTTGGGATAGCTTTTGAAAACAGCTTATTAGCTTTTTAGCTTTTCAAAAAACTAATAAGCTAAAAAAAATGTTTGTGTATTTAAAAAACGCTTTTTAAAACAGATTTTTGGATAAGAAAAAATAAAGCTTTCAAAAAGCTAGAAAATCCTAGCTTTTTTAGCTTTTTAGACATTTTACTCATAAAAAACAGTTTTTCTTATCTAAACACTTTTTAAAATCCGTTTTTCCTAAAAACAATAAGCTAATAAATACTTTTTTTTTTTAAATCACTTTTGTGATAAAAAAGTTAACCCAAACATACCCTTGATATATTAATTCTCTTTATACGTAACTAGACTTTAAGTCTTTAAGTAGGCCCAAGTTATTCTAGTACATAAACTTAGTTACAGAATACACAGCATGACAAGTTTACCATGACATTGCTTACACATGAGAGCTTTAGAAATAACAATTGAATCAATTATTGTAGTTTATTGTTTTTGGTAGTTTTAGAATGGATTCCAGATAACTTTTTTTTCTGTTTCAGTTGGACAGTAATTTTTCAAAGAAACAATTAGAACCAAAGACTTGAAATTTCTTTTGTATAAGTATAATCATTTTCTCTTTTTGATTGGTGTTAAAATTTATGATTGATGTAAACACAATTAAATTCTGAACTTCCAAACACCCTCTTAACTTAACCTTAATACTTCCAAACACCCTCTTAACTTAACCTTAATGAATTTACAAATTTGATAATATTAATAAATATTGTGAATTTTTCAATGATTCAAACAATTTATTCACTTTCAAAAATAAAAGAGTCCTTTTTTACATATAGTAAGCCACTTTTATACCCACACAACTTTAGGGTGGTTTAATTACCGAAGCATTTATTACCAAATAATTCCAACCTATTGTTGATTTCGGAAAATGTAGAGTTTTTAGAGGATTTTGATTCGTTTACCGATTTAGTGGTGACATCTAAATGGTTCCATTTTGACTTAACATGGGCAGAACTTAATACGATAAGCTTTATATAACCACTTTTCTTATACTCATAAAGAATGACTTATAGAAAAGGTTTGGAAAATAAAACTGTCCCCATAAATACTTTTAAACATCATTTATCCAGACATCACTTTATCAATAACACGTACAAAAAAAAACAAAACCTTACAACACTTGTTCAAAATTGAGCATTACATTGCTAAGACTCCATACATCCATCATCCTCCACCTTCACCTTCGGCCTACAACAACCATTTTTCACAACCCTTGCCACCTCATCACCCTCCACTTTCACTTTCGATCCACAACAACCCCTTTTCAAATCTTCATTCTTCCCAATTCTCTCAAGAAACTCCATGTTTTCTTTCCACACTTCACCATTAGAATACACTTCTTTCTTCCATATAGGAACCGATGCTTTAAGCTCATCAATCACAAACTTACAAGCATCCAATGCATCAACCCGATGAACAGAAGAAATGGCAACAAACACACTTGTCTCCCCAACAGAAACGGGGCCCAATCTGTGGGCCACAGCAATGGAATTTAAATTCCATTTGGATCTTGCGGATGAACAAATGGAATTGAGACAACGGATGGCCATTGGGACATACGCTTCGTATCTTAGTTCAATGACCGTTTTGCCCTCGAATGTGTCACGGGTGTTCCCGTAGAATGTGGCTATGGCCCCACATTGAGGGGCGTGGACGTAATTTGTGTACTTGTTGATGTCAATTGGATGGTTTTCTTCCAAGATTTCTATTAAGTTGTTCTCGTGTTCATTCGCCATTTCTTTTTTTTCTTCACAAATTCTCTTTTGGTTTCTGAGAAAGTCAAGAGATTATGATAAGGGTCAATGGCATATAAAAAAGAGATTAATGATTTGGATGAGAAGGGCAATTTCGTCTTTTTTACGGACCAGAGATTAGGAGGGAATTGCCATGTGACAATGTTCATGTGTAATGGAATTAGAATATGAAGGAATTGTATTACTTTTTGGTTCGAACAGGGTAAAAGAAACAAAGGGTAACCTTAAATCAAAAACCAAATAACCCAAAGAAAAGAAGAGAATTTTGATTCCACACAACAGAAACCTAATTCAAATTAGGGTTCATTTTGTTCATCACCTTCAGTCCAACGAAGGCAATAAAAAATTAAGATCAAAGATCAAATTGGACTTATCTTATGGGAAAACCATGAAAGAACACGATTTCCTTCACGGAAGCGTCAAAACCCTAATCAAAGCTATGGCAGGAACAGGAAGTTCATTAACGATAATTAAAATTGCATACAGAATAAAGATAAGAGAGCTTACTGGATGTGAGTGAGAGTGAGATAGCCGCCGGAGATGTAGGCCACACGGAGAGGGCAAAACAGGTGTCCGACGGTAGTTAACAGCGAACTGCTCTAGCAGGGTAGTGGTGGCGAGCTTCGGCGTATAAGGTGGTGGTGGTGGTAAGGACGACGTATAGGGCGGTGGTGGTGAGAGCCTGTTCGGTTTCAAGTGTGAAGAACAAAGGCGGTGGTCTTTGTCTTTATGAAATAAGGACGATTTTAAGAAGGAGAGAAGGAGGGAAAGCAGGTGGCAGGAGATAAATGGTAATACAGAGTAATTTGAAGCAACAAGAGCAGTGATCACGCTGGCTTCCAGATGATCGGAAGAATCAGACAGAAACCCTTCAGGATTACAGCTTAAAACGAAGATATCACAACCATTTGTCAACTGTGTGTGTGAGAGAGAGAATCTGTTTCTGCTATTCTGTGGTTTGGGCTTGTGTGATAAACGGGTAACATTAAAAGTTAAGCCCATGTTAATATCCACTCTCTCAACTAAAATAAATGTGAGTCAACATAAATGTGAGTCAACATAGAGCGTGTTCGGTAAAATTAGCTGGTAGCGGGTGGCTTGTAGCGGGTAGTGGGTAGCTTGTAGCTTGTAGCGTTTTGTTAAACGCTACATGAAGTAGCATTTGGATTTGGAACGTTTTGTTTAAACTAAACGCTAGTAGCTTGTAGTGCCGAACGAGGCTTTTTGTTCAAAACGGAGCGTTTTGTCAAACGCTAGAAGTTAGAAGCTCTCAAACGCTCACAAACGCTCCATGCCGAGCACGCCCTAGTTAAATCCGGTTTCGGTCAAAATAGATTCAATTTCAAACCGGTTCAATGAAAAAAAAATGTTGATCCTATGTGAACTGATTTGGACCGGATCAAAACCGGTTTTGTAAAAATCGAAATTTGAGCTTTTGTACTTGGTTCTCTCGGTAATTAGCAAAACCCACAAAAACCAGTTTGTAATTTCTTTTAATTTCAAAAGTCCACTTCTTTTGAAGCACATTTTTTGTTTGGTTCGTGAGAAATAAAAAAAATGAAGGTAGTTATTGAAGCTTCATTATGTGAAGGGAGGACTCTTTTTGTGTAGGAAGAGTTTAAAAAAAAAGAAACAAGTTATTTCCATACATCCAGTCCGGACTCTCGACTCTGACATTTAGGAGGCTTTGTGCAATAAGAAAAGTGCTAGATGTAACACCCATAAAATTCAAGCCAATTTAAAACTTTTTAAAACATTTAAAACCATTAAATTATTACAGTTTACTTTCAAAATAAATTAAACATCAAAGTATCCCCAGAACCAATCATGAAAATGTGAGGAGGTGCACGATCACGCCTTCGCCTTCCCGCGATCATCCGAATACCTGAAACAATAATCGATAAATGTAAGCTCGAAGGCTTAGTGAGTTACCCCCAAAATACCAACGCCATACACATATAACCATATCATATAAATGTATAAGCAAACAGCATGCATAATGAGCCATCAGTCTGACTGGACCGAATCCCGGTCCTCAGTCTATCTGGACCGCCCTCCTCGGGACCTTCAGCCTATCCGGACCGCTCGCTGGGCCTTCGGCCTGACTAGATTTGCCCGGCCTGGGCCTTCAGTCTACCCGGTCCGCCCAGGGTGTCTTGGCCTACTGCACACAGCATGACCTGCCTCAACCCTTTCCCCAAACCAACAAACATGTGCACATACATATAAACAAGTAAACATGCAGATC